TTTACTCTGGTTGTCGATTATTCTGGTTGTGGTTACTTTGGTTTTGGGTTTATAATACTAAATTGAGATGCCTGTAAGTTTGTTAGCCCGATCTTATGACTCGGGATTTTGGGGACAGGACTAAAAATCCGGGGCGAGATAACTATAGTTTTTGGGCGACGTAATTACGGGCGAGATGACATTCGGTCGAATTGACCAGTTACCGCTCTTTTACCTGTCAGATAGTTTTCCAGAAAAATCACGAGGCGAAGCAATAAATTTATTCGCGTTCTTTGATCATTAGATAACAATTTGTTTTCTTTTCTCCGTGCAGAATGAAAGGCCCGATCCTCTTATCGGTCTAGCATCAGAGATCACCGCATTAACAACAATTTTCGGGGATGAAAATTCTCTTGGAAAGGCAGAGCGTAGTGAAGCTGGTTTCGACAATGTCAGCATTGGCGATTCAGCGATTGAAACTCCCAACATCACTGACATGACGCTAGAAATCTCTCACCTTCACCAACGCATTCTCAAGTGGAAGGGTGATGTGGAATCTCAGTTGTCTAAAGCTTGTAGCGACGCAAAGAAGGCACACGACGAACGAATATTTGCGAACCAAGAGTACGAGCTTAAAATCAAACAACTTAACGAAAGATACACCAATTTGACGAAAGGTGTGTCGGAAGAGATGAACGCTAAAGTCAAAGAATTGTGTGGGAAGTTAAAAACAGCCGAAAAGGCTCTCAGTGAAAGAGAAGCCGAAATTGAGAAGCTTACAGAAGAAGTTAAGGTTTCTGTGAGTGCGTCCCACGAGGCACAAAGATCTGCGATAGAACTTGAAAGGAAAATAACGGGTTCAGAGAGAAAACATAGCGAACTTTCTTCCGAATGCGAGCAATTGAAAGAGCGATTTAAACGGAAGGACGAGAGGGTTACTGAACTGGAAGCAAAGCTTTCGGAACTTAGAGAAAAGTGTACCAAACTTGAACTAACCGAAGCGGAATCGAACAAGAAAATCGCGGAACTACATGGAGAATTAAAAGCTAAAGAAGTTGTGTTGGAGAGGGTGCATGAATCGTATGAAAAGCTGAACGGAATGGTATTTGGGTCCTTTGAAGAGCTAGAATCCGAGCTGAAAAGTAGGTTAGTGGATAGAGAGAGAGGATTACAGAATCAAAGTGCTCAGAATAGAAGGCTGGAAACGAACATTGTGGAGATTCAACAACAAAATAGAGACCTTAGTAATAAACTTGAGGAAGCTAATGCAAAAATCGCCGACTTGGAAAACACCAGGATTGAAAATGACACCTTCATTCGAGATTTGAAAAATCAACTTAACTTTGCACAACAGAACCAAGACACGTTTATGTTAGAATTAAAAGATACTCTCCATCCTGTGGAAGGTTTGGATGTTCCGGACGGTAACCACGTGGTGAAGGATTTCAGAAAAATGATTTTAAAGGTATGAATTTTTTTTCGGCCATATAAACAGTTTGATGCTTCTTACAGCTATACCGGATACTACAATTGTTGGAACATTCAACCTCAGTCTCAATATTTACAAAGACTGAGGCGGCGTTCGCAAGGACATATTGTTCTCAAAATTTGTGCGTTAAGGTACTCTAAGGAACCACGCCAACTGATAGCAATTTACGTCAAGATCAGGGACGAATTTTTGGCCCGCACGGTAGGGATTTCGAGTGGCGTTGTAAACGGTTTCATCGTCCAAATTTTGTTTTAAAAAGGCGAGTTTGCTTGGATGCGTGGTAGCCAAGCATTCAAGTGCCGCTTTGAATATAGCGTAGTTACGTGTAGCGCATGTGCAGATGGTTAATCCGCAGGAAAAAGTCATAATTCAATCAGTTGGTCATTTTCTTGTGCACGAAAGGCTCGGTTTGATTTTTTCAAATGATCATAGAATTAATGAGTGTACACAGTTCCGGAGGTTTTGCTTGTCCCAGTGTGTTTCGTGAGAAATTTTTATTATCTTTTCTGACGGAAGTTTCTTCATATTTCAGCAAGCCAAGCATCTCGTGGCCGAAATGTCTGTCCTCCATCGTCAGCTGGACGAGAAAAGTACGCAGAAAGAAAAACTGGAGGAGCATGTGGCTGAGCTACAGGATAACATTGAAAAGAAGAAGAAAGAAATCATTGAGTAAGTGTGGTAGTGCTTTATACTCAAATATTGCATTCCGGGTACAGGAAATGGATCAAACTGATATTTTATTGTTAATTTGCATGCCAGAAACCTATTATGGGTTGTTTGCTATGAAAATTGATAAGTTGCAAGGAATGTAACCCTTAAACTCACGTGAGTGATCAAGGCAGAATTTCTCCTTACAATAATTAATGACCAGACAAGTGGTGAGAATAAAGAAAAATGTCAATTGGGGAATTGTTAGTTGATCAAATGCCAAATTCTCTGCACTAACATCATAAGAACTGTATTACGGACAGGAGGAGAATTATCCAGTTGAGAGCGAAAGGACCTATTATCTAGATGACGCTTGTCAAAATGCCACGTCAGAAAACGCGGTTCGAATTCTTGTGTACCGGCTACTAAAACTTAGCAGTGGGGGACGGGGGGGAGGAGGCGGTGGCGGCGGCGGAAGGGGGGTGATCATTGTGTACTTTGTTGCCGATAGACCAGAAGTTAGTAGTAAGAGTAGCATTGTATTATTTTATTATTAATAGTTTGCACGAAGAAGTAGACACCTCTCGAAGGAGAATCACGTTTATTGATGAAGAAAAAGACATCCTTGAGAAGGTACGAATTCTCCTGATCATGTTTTTTCTAAAGAAATCATTGCAGATATGAATAGTTATACTCGTGTCAATTGTGATGTCGCCTTGTTTGTCTTTGGGCTTCCAGCTAAACAGAAGCTTTACTTGTTTCTCTCCAGGAAAAAATCAAGGCGGATAACAGACTGGCAGAGCTCGAGGAGTCCCAGGAGACTCTGCAGTCAAATATCTCCTTCCTTTCCGAAGAAAAATGCAAAGTCTTCGATGAATTGACACAACTGCAGGGAGTTCGAGAAGAAGAGGAAAAACTCAGATCGGAGACGCATGACGAACTCGCGTCCCTGCAAGCCCAGCTTGAAGAAACTGCGCAGTCCAAACAGAAGTTAGAAAACGAACTAGCAACTATCACAGACTCTCTTCAAACTATGGATGTCGAGAAGAAAGATCTGGATGGCCAACTGAGATCGCTGGAAGAGAAAATGTCTTCTGTACACGACGAGAGAATCGGCCTTGAGCACGAGTTAGATGTTGCTAGGGAACAATTGGAGGCAGCCAATGAGGCGAGAATTCGGGCCGAGCAGAGTCAGGTCAGGTCACAGGAGCAGCTGGAGAGCCTGCAGTGCATGATGGACCAGGAGATCGCAGCGCTTAAATTTCAACTTAGCTCGGAGACTATGAAATATGAAACAGAGCTTAAGGTAAGTTCTACACTTTACCTTTAAACGATCAATGAAAAGTGCGCGTAAGAGAGATAGCGTTTGGAAAGTTCACGAAGTACAATCTCGCACAACTTTTTTTTACAGATCTTTGGTGAACAACATCTGTTGTTCTGGAAGATAAACTCTTAAAACTACCAATTGTTTGTCATTTGAAGCAGGACACAAAGCTCTAATAGCTACTGTACACAAAGGAAAGGAAAACCCAACCACGTTAGCCATATTAGTTAATTTCTATCCTTCGGCGTGTCACGATCTAATACTGAACTTGGCCTTAGTTCTTTTGCACACAGAGCAGCAATTGCCTGGAATTCCTTACCAGGTAATTTAGGACACTTTTCAAACCCATTTGCTTTTAAAAACAAGCTTAAAAAGGCAAAAAATTATGTTTTAAATAAAAATTTTGGAAACGGGGGTGGCTCTGTTGTTTATAATGCGAATGCAAATTGTTACTATTTCTGATATATTATGACACATCTACATTTATATTCATTCTGTTTTTTATTTAACACTTTAGTCTAGGTTTATTTATCTTATTTTACGTAGGTGATATAGTAGGTCCACATCAGCTGTAAAGTTACCAATTTTTTAACCTACTTATCAAATAAAGATATGTATGTATGTATGTATGTATGTATGTATGTATGTGTGTATGTATGTATGTATGTATGTCACAACGTCAACGTCACATTGTTCGTTGTGACGTTGACGT